AGTTTGGATGTGTCTATGGGGCTTCCATGACCTTTCCTTGTACAGGTTGTGCTAGTTTCCCCTGTATTGTATACTGTCTCACCCTTCACCCAAGATACGTGGTGACCTTTTGACTGGAGTTATCTGGGGTCAGGGGCTAAAATGGGACATTCTCACAAAATGCCTCAGGGATTCCAGAACTAAAGGAGTGAACAAAGTCACAATCTGAGAAGCCAGGAGAGCAGTCTACAAGATCACTAGCACTAAAGGAGATCAGGGTGGATGTTACCAAGCCAGAAATCTGGGGATCAGGGAGATAACAGCAAACAAGCCAGGAACAAATGGAAGAGGGGATTGTAGTGTCTGGACCACCACAGCTGCTTTTTTTGGCCAACTAAAGCCTGGTGCAAGGGGCACTGGTAGTGCAATGGTTAATCACTTGACTTTTAACCAAAAGGTTAACAGTTTGAACCTACCCAGTGTCTCTGTAAGAGAAAGACCTGGCAATCTGCTTCTGTAAAGATTACAACCAAGAAAACCCTATGTAGCAGTTCTACTCTGTCATATGGGGTCACTATGAGTCAGAGTTGACTCAGTGGCACTCCACAACAACAACAAAGCTCGATACATAATTGATTTAAGATACCAAAGATGGAATGGATGACAGCTGATTCATGCCTGCACAAATCACTGCTTTTTTTGCCCAGCTGTACTCTCCTTTAAGCAAGAGTAGGGTTTTCAGGCACTGTGCAGGAATATTGGTGGCCCAGTTATAGCTTTTCCTAATTGAATCTAGCTTTTAACAAACAGAAATGAGTATACCACTAACATCTCTAGTTCTGGAGACCAAACAAAAGCACTTTAAAATCCTGTAAAATTGAGATCTCAAAGTTCAGTATACAAAATTTCAGATCTGATTTTTCACATCATCAATATATATTTTAAAAAGAAAACCTTATATCCCATGCCTGATATGAATAAGGCCTTTTACATTTTTATTATAAACATTTAGGCTTAAAGTGATTATAACTGACAGTTAAGACCAACAGGAGTCAGTGGCCTGTTCATGGACAAATTATCTGTATTTCAGGCTAAATCAAAAGTAAACATTCTCTGAAGTCCTTTCAGGTCTACATTAGCCCCGAGGAAGCCAAAGGCAGCCAACAAAGCTCCCACCTCCCCGGATATGTTTTGTGGTCTCAGTTCAAAATGAATAGTCATTTCCATGAAGCAGCAGTATATTCATTTTGAACCATGTCTACATGTAAGATTTTGAATGTGTGTTTATTTTTCCTCAGTCAACATTTTTATATCATCAGGAGAATATTGCAAAAGATCCGGGGATGTGTTGTTTTATAGTCCGTCAGATTAGTGTTAGGACCTGTTCTGATAACCTTCCCTCACTTTTTTTTTAGATTTTTTGCATTTATTCTTTAGATGAAGTAATAGCAATGAATTCGTATCTTCCACCGCATCTCATTCTTACTAGCTTTTCATGGTTGGTAGTGAAGGTGTTATTCTTCCCATTGTACACATGAGGCAACTGAGACCTAGAGAGATTAGGTGATACATTTAAAGCCAGACAAATTTTTTAGTGGCAAAGGCAGAGGTACTACCTAGAACTTTGGATACTATAAGGCCAGTACTTCGTCCAAGTATCAAAACAGCCAGGCCAAACAGGAGGTGACCTCTTTTCTTTCAATGCTTCCTTTTGAGTCAAATTTTGGGATCAACTGAACGTTGTTAAACAAAGTACATAGAGACTATAATGTAGTCTTGTATCATCATTAAAACAAAAAAACTTATTGCCCTCGAGTCGATTCCGACTCATCTCAACCCTGTAGGACAGAGTAGAACTGCCCCATAGGGTTTCTAAGGAGTGGCTGGTGGATTCAAACTGCCAAGCTTTTGGATAGCAGCTGAACACTTAACCACTGCGCCACCATGGCTCCTGTATCATCAGAGACACTTTTTGTCTTATGGATCTCAAAAACAAAAGGTTAAGAAATAATATTTATTCATTTACGGGCACATCTGAACCTTTTCACACACTGCTTCTAGCTGATGTCAATTGGCCCTTCCTTCCTCCCATTATAGCCGTAATAGTTAGGGGTCAGACGCTGACTAGAGACGAGAGTAGAGATTAATGTGTCTGAGTTGATTATATAGATTCCAAAAAGGGGCCTGTGTTTGTTTAACACTGACTGGCTTTTAGAACCAATGACAAGTCAGAAAGCATTTCTCCTGAAAGCTAATTTCTAGTAGGCTTTCAGAACCTTGGGGATGAGTGACACCATTGCTGGTGATAACAGTTTTACTGCTGTGTGATTCATATGCTGACCTCCCCCTTACTGCTTGGGTTGTTTTTAAACTGGTCATTAACATATTCTAATGCAGATATTGAGGAATACAGCTTTATCATTTAAATTCTTGGTGTTATTTTATCTTTCCAAGTATTTAGTAAGTGAGAAGAATTCATGTGTCCCATGAGAGAAGGCAACTGGCCCTCTTGAAACAGCACTGAAAGGCTTGCAGATTAGTGCAGTGGTTAGAACAGGTGGCTGCAGCATCTCCAGACCTTATATGTATGCAGAGAAAAAGCGAGGACTTCTTTCCAAACATCTCATTACCTCTGACTGCAACGTGTGCAGTCTCTGAACTATGCTGAACAGTCAGAGAAATAAACTGTGCAGCTTACCTTAGGTCTGCATGACATGCTTCACCCTTGAGCCAGGGGAAATAGAGAGGGTGACCCCACCTCAATCACGTTGACTATGAGTTAGGGAGAGCTCACAGAAAAGATTTCTCAGAGAGAAAAATCTGGGTACACTTTTTAGAAAAAAAGGATGAATGAATGCTTGGTAGCAAAAGCAATCAATGTCTATTATAATGCCTGCCCTTGGCCACTAGATGCTTCATGTATACCTAAGTTCAGGGATGAGGTAGATTTAGCAAACTCCTGCTGGCGTTACTACTGATTTTAGGAATTAATTTGCCACTGGGATTTGCCTCTTCTTGCTCATCCATAACACTGCTTGCCACAGGTTGCTAAGCTGACTCCATGATGATTTGTATAAAACTAAACCAGCACTTGCTTGTTACTGGGAGTCTGGCCCCTACAGCCTGCCCCAGCAGCACTCCTTGATGATGGAACAGTGCCTTCAAAAGCAGTCGAAGGGTCTCCCTACTGCAGCATACCAACACACTACTGGGTTTTTGAGGCCTCATGTTTTCCTGGTAGTTGCCTCCCCTGAGAAGATTCCGTTTGTGTATCCAGAAAGGAAACTGTCATATTTTTGGTCTGAGTCCCAAGAACTCTCATGGACTCTCTCCATTTTGCCCAGACCTAGAAACTAAACAGAGTTGGGCTACTTGGGCTTCAGAGGGTACAGAGGATGGTGGCAGCCTCAGCAGTGGCTGTGGTGTGCTCAGGTGCCACTGCGGCAGCAGCCTGGTCTCCCAATGGGAGGAAAGGGCAAGCCACGGTGTACTTGCAGGGGAAAGGCTGCATTTCTTTCTTGAGGTTTCTTGTTACCTTATTACACAACTCAGATGGTTTGCTTTTAACGGTCTGCTTGTCTTGTTCCATTTGACCTATAAAAATGTTAACATCCTTTAAGTAGATTTCTCTTAAAGAGTTGAATGTTTCTTTGTCAGGTCGTACAGCATATTTGACAATAATCGTCAGGATCCCACAGGGCTGACAGCTGCTCTTCAGGCCACAGACCTGGCTGGAGTCCTGCACATGCTCTACTGTGTCCTGTTCCACGGCACCGTCTCAGACCCCGGCACTGCCAGTCCCAAGGAGAGTTATGCCCAGAACACTGTCCAAGTGGCCATTCAGAGTTTACGTTTCTTCAACAGCTTTGCAGCTCTTGATCTGCCTGCTTTTCAGGTACCAAGTCTTGGTTTGTATTGGTGTTAACCAACCAAGAGTTAATATTTTAATGTAGATATAATGTGAGATTCTTCTCCTGGATTGGGGCATATGGAATACACTATAATAATATAGTATTTATATTTAATAATATAAATAGAATTATAATATGTGCCATTTCTTAAGCTCCTACTTCTGGGCATGATAGTTCTCGTTTATTCTCACAACTACCCTGCAAAATATTATTATACCCATTTTACAGATGGATAAACTGGCAGTTAAGTAATTTACCCAAAATTACATGGGACTGAGCCAGGACTGGTACCCACGACTGTCTGACCCCAAAGCCTACACTCATTTCATGCTATTTATAAATCTGCTGTCTTGAATTCTTTAGATAAAGACATTATCATCCCATCAACTTTTAAATATTAGGGAAAGTAATGGTCTCTTATATAAACAGAACCAAAATTAGATAAATTGTTTTGATTGATAAGACTTTGTATGGAAGATTTAACTGACTTGTGTCCAGTGTAAAGTACATGTATAGTTAAAAGTGCAAACTCCTATAAATTAAGTTTTTATAGCTAAAGAAAGAAAAATTGCCTTATGCTATAACACAAGACTGTCAGCTTAGAAAAAGATTTTTTTCATGTAGGAAATTTAATTTTCAAAAACACTGAACCTTTGGAACAGAGCAAGCCCCAAGGAGTACACTTTCTCTTTCAGTTTATTAACTGTCAAGTGATTTCATTAAAAAAGGAACAAACTTGGCAGATGATGAACCCATAATTTAGATGAATTGCTTTGCTTAGAGGGAAAAAGGTTATAGAGCTATAAATGTATGAAAATGGTGGTCTCTGGCCATTCCAAGATGGAGGAAACACTTCTGTTCTGTAGTTGATGACAAATGTGCAGTTCTTTAATCGATGTCTTCCTGTCACTCTGTTCACAGAAGGAAATTAGTAAGTTGTAGCATTGGATCCAGTATCATTCAACTTTAGAAAGTTAGTTTATTTATCCCGAGAACAGAAATCCCTCCCTGGGGTTAATGCTTTTCACTTTCGGGTTAATGATTTGAACTAGCCTTGGGTGCTAACTACACAGTCTCCAGAGTCCTGAGAGTTTACAGCCACACCCAAACAGGAGATATCTCCTCCAGAAAATGCCAAATGGTTCCCACCTCCGAGTTAGACATCACGTCTGTATTTTATGAAGACCCAAGCCCATTGTGTTCTGTCTAGAAACAGTGTGGAAATCAGGGAACCCCAATTTTATGCCCTCAGAATATGGAGTCCAGCAGTCTACCCATCAGCTAAATCCTTTGTTACCAGAGATTATGAAGAAGCAAATATCTAAATACTGTCTCTTAGCTTCTAGTTACATAGATCTTCTGACCAGAATTTATACTGCTGCAGGGTACTCCACATTATAAATAAGCATCTGTATTAAGTCAGCCGTTCCATCAGTCACTCTGAGTATCAGAGAGCCCCAGGTCCCTGTGACCCCACTCTCCCATGCAGCCTCACGAACAGAGGAGCACCACTGAACCTCCAACCAGCCCTGCTCCCTAGTGGCCTTTAGGCAAATGGCTGATAACGTTAGAAAAATCAAAAGCTTATATTCTTGAGCCCTTTGTGCCAAACCAAGATTTCTCCTCTCCACATCCTTGCCATACCCAGCCTGAAATGTATCCCCTACTTGAGGCGCTTTTGCCAGAAACAGCATCCCAGCGTGACTCAAGAGTGTTGAAGTTGAACTCTCAGTGTCCTTTCTTAGCCATTTCTTACAGTTCTTCTTTCTCCTCTGCCTCTCATACAATTCCATATTTCTTCCCTTCCTGTTTTTGTTTTCTTCTTTTGTATCTTTGTTCTGCCTCTCCTGCTTTCTTTCCTTTTAGTCAATCTTGCCATCACTATTTCTCGTTCTCTCATCAGCCATTGTTTCCAGGTACCATTTTCCCCTTAACTAGAGCATGGGCCAGGAAAGTCTACAGTAACCTTCCTCTTCCTCCTGTTCCTCTGACATTACAAGTTTCTGGCTACCTTCCTTTTGGTGCCCAAAATCCAGCACATGTTACCCTCTGTCTTAGTCATCTAGTGCTGCTATAACAGAAATACCACAAGTGGATGGTTTTAACAAAGAGAAGTTTATTTCCTTACGGT